CCGATTGGGCTTCTTGATCTTTCGTGAAATCCCAGCCCCATAAAGTGTATCCGTTTTTATACTCTTCTAAGGTAATGTCCGGAGCCCAATCTTCTCCTAATTTTCCCAAAGCTTGATATATACTCAGATAAGATCTCAAATATAAATCTTCATTAAAATTAGGTTCGAAACAACGAGTCATCATGGTCTCTCCATTGATACTAACATCTAATTTTTTAATCCCAAAATTTTGAAAATTAAAGGGATTTTTAGTTTTATCTCCATTAAAAGCCGCATTCTCCACAAACCCTAAAATGAGCCTTTTTGGCATCTGGCCTTGAAACAGATGATCCGTAACCTTAGATTGAGTTCCTGTAGGTATGGTAAAACTTTTGACTTCGACTCTTCTTAATAGATATTTGGCTCTGTGAGATTCAAAGTTTGATTGATGTGATTCATTAAAGTAGGGGAAGGTTTCACTTTTCTCACCCACAAGACCATACTTAATATTTTGACTTTTCCCGTATTGGCTTGAGCCGTCATCATGTAGAAATCAGGTCTAGCTCGATTAAATCTCAAACGGACGTCGACTCCATTCGGTAGAAATCGATCTTGTTGAAACAAATCCAGATGTAAACGAACCAACAAAGTAATTTTCTTACTAGCATCTATGGCTTCATGACGTTTTCTGTATCCTTCGTTTTTAGAATTGGCTGGGTACGCTGGAATGATGGGTTTGTTAATGGTACAAGTACCAGCAGCTACAGCAAAGGCCTGATTAGCAGCCACTCCCAGAGCTGCTAGCCCCCTTTCGTCCATGTGTCCTGCCGTATCTTTTTCCCATAGACTACAGGCTTTCATTTGTGTGGCTAAAGTTCTGGGTTTATAAGACAGTAATTTCTCCAGATAAGCTTTGTAAGGATAAGTATCCGTCCCTGGAGTGATTATTTTTCCATTGACATTGACATCGATTTCCGTAAACAAGGAATGTAAGATATTATTCACTGGGGCTGTTTTAGCAGGAACTCCAGCCAGATCACTTCCATCATTTTGGACAAATTGACATACCATTTGAAGATAAGTTTGAGATTAATCTAGATATTGATCTCCTTGTCCTTTAATTTCAAATTCGATCGGAGCTGTCTCTGAATCTAAAGTACTAGAAATAGGGTAATATTCTTCCCATTTGGAGTCTTCTAAAGCAATATTAGTGGGAGGGACTTGGAACAATTGTAAATTGTCCATCCCACAAGCACAGGAATCGGGCTGTAACATGATGTCTGTCTACTAAGATTGATTTTTCACAAATGAAACTCTTCTCCCTCACACTCCTCTATTTATAGTCTCTCAGTCAAAGACATCTAAAGACCGTGTTTTCTTCTTGGGAATATTGTTTTCTTGATTTTTTCTTTTTCTCTTAGGACCTCCTCTAGCCAACAGAACTCTTTCTGTCTGTTTTCTTTTTCTTTTCTTACTATCTCCTAGATTCATTTTTTGTTTTACCATTCCCGACGTATTTTTTAGGGCTTGTATTCCGTGAGTTTTGATAGCATCTTTTAAAGATCTCTTATTTTCTAACACATCTTACCCCGTTCTAGCAGCAGCGGTCAAGGCATGTTTAGCTCCCGTTTTCAGTAAATCCGTAAAAAATCCTTCCCCTCTTTGATAGTTTTTGGGGGGTGGATAATAATAAGCTGGTGGTGGTGGGGGTGGGAGTGGTTGCTGTTGACCCCCTCCTAATATTCCACCTAATAGATTACTGACTACTGGAGCTGCTAATTTTAACACCGGAGCTAAAAGACCAAGCCCGTGTCCTTTTTGTCGCAATAAACCTTTATGATAAGTCCAACCATGTCCTCTCTGTCTTAATATTCCTGGATGATACTGCATGGTGATAACTGTTCTTAAAAACTGACTTTTGTGCACTCTGAGGACTTCCTTTTATACCCCTTTTTAGGGCTGAATAAAATATAGACAGCATACCAGACAAATCATGACTCCCAATAGGATGTAACAAAAAAGCTGTACACTCATCTCAGTACACTTTTCTAAAATGAAGTTTGACTAAAGTTTTTCCACTTAAAAAGGGCATGGGTTTTCCTAAAGGTGTCATGATGTGTATCTCAATGGTATCAAAATGTTTTTTACTCAAAGGGAGATATTCCGCACGGATGGGTTCCCATTTACATTGATTGTCATTATGTTCAAATTGACAAGGGAACACTCTTAATAATTTCAAGGCATTCGATCCTACAGTCTGGGGTTGAATCAGATCACAATACACATACATGGATTTTAAATTTCGATATAAATCTACAGTGTCTGGAGCCAGATAACTGATGTTAATCCATTTGGTCGTGTCTTCTGTCCAATTTTCCGGGACTAATTTAGAATCATGAAATCCTAATTTATAAGCCAGACTTAAGGGAAGATGTACAAAGATGGGAATTGGACGTAAATGAGTGACATAATTCACTCGATTGAAATCCTCCCGATAATTAAATTTCATCTCAAGTTTTGAGGGTTTTTCTTCTTCTTCTTTCAAGTCTTGTATCACTGTCTTTAAGCTTTGTTTTAAATTTCCATACACATCATCATCGTCATCACTTCCTTGATCTGTGGGGTTTTTTTCTCGTTCCATTTGTGATACTTTTTCCAGATTTTTTTCATGGTCTGTACTAAACCTTCATTGATTTCTGCCAGGATAGCTGTAGGGTTAGGATAAGGTCCCGGTCTAAATCGAAGTTGATACAAATTCATTTTCTCTCTAGGATCATAAGTACCCATTAACCAATAAGCTTTACTCCAATCTACTAAAAGCTTGGTTTGTTGAAAAGTGATGGGAGTACTTTTCAATAATTGAAACCGTCCCCACTGGTACTTATCAGGGTCCTCGAGATCCAGTTTCTCAGATGGTGAAACGCCTTTAAAAAAAGGTGGAACTTTTTCCACTATACACACTTCGATATAAGATTCATCCTGACTTATATTTTCTATACTACAAGGATAAATCATTTCGGTTAATGCTACTTCCCATTGACCATCCGTTAAATCCACAGATTGTGGTAATAAAGTTTTAAATTGAGCGGTCGTATTCCTCGGAAAAGATTGCATGGAGCTATCACTGGGTAATGTCATGTAAAAACCACTGTTCTCACCCTTGTTCAGTAAGCGACTGAGAGATAATTACTTCTAACCTTTCTATTTATAATAATAATAACAACAACAATTCTTTTTTAAAAAGAATTTTATTTTTTTTAACCATCAAATCGACATAAGGGACATTGTCTGTAAGAAGTCTCTATAATGTTCTTTATACACATTTTCAATTTATGATTTATTTACTTCATATCTACATAAGGGACAAAGTCTGTAGCAAGTCACGACAAGACAAAGTTCTCGACACATTTCACACAGCATGGATACTGTCGACATTGTTGACACTTCCATCTCCCCTCCGTATTTTCCTCCCAGCAGGTCAGGCATTTCTTTAAAGCTCTTTTTCTGGTCACTTTGACCCATGGGGGCACCATATTCTCTACCCCGAACTTCCATGTGAAATATTTAATGCACCAGCTACATCCACAGGTCTCCATAGAAGGGGGATCATCCACAAACCAGTGAGGAAAAGTCATTTCACAATGCTCGCAAATTCGATAAGTTCTGTGATGCCATCCAGGATAATCATACACCGTAAATGTACGCTCATGAATCATTTCCCTATCACAGTAATGACAGTAATACTTTTCTACGTCAAACAAATACGCCAGTCTCCACATAAAAATCATGATTGAGCGCAGTGTACTCAAAACTAAGCTTTATATACCTTTTTCTGTGTTTTATTTTTAGAATTTTACTATATTTATTTTTAGCACGAGATCTTATTCTGAAAACACCTGGCCACATGAGTGTGCTGTGTGCAAAAACTTCTTTTTTTGCTGAGTCATTAATACACAGGTAATACACAAATCTTGGCATCGATTCAAGTATGTCCATTATGACGTCATTAATCACACTAAAAAATGTGATACAGATCAAAAATAAGACTTGTAATTTTTTGTGTGTTTTTTTTTTATTCATAATAACAACAATCATAACAAAATAATCATATTAATAAACATTCAAAACTATTGTACACTTCTTTTGTTTCATCTATGGGAAAAGATCTTCTCATGTACAAATATTCTGTTTCACAAGCACAGTCCATGATACTGTATCCTTTTAAGAGCACTTTCAGATAATCTTGGATACACTCTTTGGCTCTTTCCATCCATTTTCCTTGAATCCAAGTCCTTTCTGGCCCCTTTTGTTTGTGAAACAAGACATTTCACTTTCCATTTGAATTCCTGATACTTAGGTTCCTTTCGACCCCCTAATATTGCCATCTTATGTGTTATTACCCATGGATGGTCTGGAAACTTCATTCTCTTATACAGGGTGGCATCTTTTTGTTTTCCTGGATTCTTATCTTTGAAATCTTGAATACATTCTTGTTTGTTTTTCATCCATTCTCCTTTCTTAGTAGAACCTTTAATTTTCCAACGATACTCTGAGCTTAAATACTCCATTGTATTTTTTTTTTGTGTGTGTGTGCTCTGTCTCTCTCTCTGTCTCAGTGAAATCAGAAATGATCAATTTTTTTTTGGACTTGTTCCATTTTATATACTCTATGGTGTCTCTATTTTTAGACTCTTATGATTTGTGTTTATTTTTATATACTCTATGGTGTCTCTATTTTTAGACTCTCTGGATTTGTGTCTATTTTTATATATACTCTATTGTGTCTATTTTTAGACTCCCTGGATTTGTGGTCTTCTTAGGGGTATGATGCATTAGGGTAGGACTAGGCATAATGTATCCTACGGAGGAACTCACACAGACCATCCAATATTCTCGATTAGTATCATGTAAAGCTAACATGACCACACTGGTAATGATAAGAGATACACAAATCAATAATTGTGCAAAATAAACAATTTCTTCTCGAGGCACATTCTCTCCACAAAATTTCCAATGAGGAGTTATTGAATGAGATTCGTTTGGGGAATCCATGAATCAAAACTAGGATGATATCCTTTCCACCGCACTTTGACTTCTTGAATGATTTTTTTCCCTACACGTCGCTTTTTATACCCCAAAATTTCTTCTACTTCGTACACATCATCTTTTTTATTAATCTGTTGTAATTCTTTCTCGTAAAAAGTGCCTTCTAATTCCTCACCATGATCATCTTGGATTTTATACACATAAGGATATCTTCCAGCCACTCTTTTAGAAATGGTAAACAGTTCTGTAGTCCAATTGGGTAAATATCCTTTTTCAAAAGTGCGTTTAGCTTTACTAATGCGGACCCGATCTCCTTGTTTAAATTGAGGTTTTTTAGGGAATGTTTGAGATTTTTCCCCATATAAAGTTTTCCAGACTTTCAATACATTAGAAGCATTCACTTGAGCTGGTGATCTTTTAATACTTCGATGATAAGAATGATTGTAAGCATATACTAAATCCGGTAAGACGTCTACATACCGTCTGGTTTTATGACGAGTGAAATAACGCCACATGCGTGCTTTGAGGGTTCTCTGAAATCGTTCCACGATACTGGCTTTAGTGTCCGTATTACGAGTAGTAAAAAAATGAATGGATTTAAAAGTGTGTAAGAATTCTCGATTGGTAAATTCTTTGCCTTGATCGGATTGAATGCGGATGGGACGTCGTCCGTCTTGTTGAAAAATCTCTTGTAATCCTCGAATCATTTCTTTTCCCGTTGTCTGTTTTAAAGGCACTACCCAGGCATATTTAGATAAGACGTCAATGGCACACAATAAAAACGTATATCCATCATTATATTTCTTTAAACTGGACACATCTGCTAAATCTAATTGCCATTGTTCATCTATATCGGTCACTCTAGTTTGTTGTCTGTGGAATTTTCTTTGAATGGGTTTATGTAAAGTATAAGTATCTTGTTCTTTTAACCAGTCTCGAATCTTTTTCAGGGAAATTCCTAAAGGTTTGACCTGACGATACAAAGCTTGTATTCCTCCGTACCCTCTTTTAGGATCATAATAAATCTCTTTTAAAATATCTTCCACTTGTTTCTTTTTCATTTCTTCTTAGGTAAAGGAAGCCAATTTTCTTCAATTTTTGCTAATTTCTTTTCTTCTTCTTCGAGTTTGTTTTTTAATTTCTGTCGAGGTAAAGGACTATATCTGGATCCTACCCTTGTCCCTACAGGGGTTGAAATGGGTTTTTTTAATGACGGTTCCTGGATCTTCTATAGGACTACTTACTTGAGTGTCTAAAAAGGAAGAAAATCCACTATCGTCTCTTTCGTCACTTTTAGGAGTACTGATTTTTCCAGGTTTCTGCATGGCTTTTATAAGGTTTCCATTACTCAGGTATTCCAAAGGAGTACGGGTCTCTTTTAAAGCTTGAGCAAATTGTTATAATCCTGTAGGAACCGGATGATTTTTCAGAGTATGAGATCTCATACTATCAGCCATTAAATCCACAATGTTAGAATTGACAACTTTTTGACCTCGATAACTAATTTCACCTTCTTTATTCCAAGTTAACACTTTAGGGTTTTTCTTTAAATGATTTAATAATAATCCAGCTTTTCTTTTCATGTTTTTATTGACGGTTTCAAGAATTTCATCGTCAATCTCAGCTGCTGGTAATGCTGCTGCTGGGGCTGGAGCTGCTCCTGGTGGAGGTGGTGCTGCTGCTGGGGCTGGAGCTGCTGCTGCCGGAATTTTCAGTTTAGAAATAGGTTCCTGTCTAGCTTGTTGTAAATAATTATACCCCACGCAACAAGTTGCGTGAGGTATAATGTTTTTGACCCGTCCGTCAGTCAGTCAGTGTGTCTGTCAGTCAGTCAGTCAGTCAGTCAGTCCGTCAGTCCTGTTTTTTTGTCAGCGCAACTCCTCATAAACCACTGCACAGAATTTCGTCAAACTTTGCAGATATTTAGGACACAATGTGTAGATGTGCATATTACCAGGAAATTCCGATTCCTTTATTTTTTCTCGGAATTTCGGCACTTTTCAACTTAGATTTTTGGCCATATCTTGAAAATGGAGATGAACAGTTTGTCAGCGCAACTCCTCATAAACCAATGCACAGAATTTGGTCAGACTTTGCAGATATTTAGCACACAATGTATAGATGTGCATATTACCAGGAAATTCCGATTCCTTTATATTTTCTTGGAATTTCGGCACTTTTCAACTTAGATTTTTGGCCATATCTTCAATATAAAGATGAACAGTTTGTCAGCGCAACTCCTCTTAAACCGCTGCACAGAATTTGGTCAAACTTTGCAGATATTTAGGACACAATGTGTAGATGTGCATATTACCAGGAAATTCCGATTCCATTATTTTTCTGGGAATTTCAGCACTTTTCAACTTAGATTTTTGGCCATATCTTGAATATAGAGATGAACAGTTTGTCAGCGCAACTCCTCTTAAACCGCTGCACAGAATTTGGTCAAACTTTGCAGATATTTAGTACACAGTGTGTAGATGTGCATATTACCAGGAAATTCCGATTCCGTATTTTTCTGGGAATTTCGGCACTTTTCAACTTAGGTTTTTGGCCATATCTTGAATATAGAGGTGAACAGTTTGTCAGCGCAACTCCTATTAAACCGCTGCATAGAATTTGGTCAAACTTTGCAGATATTTAGCACACAATGTATAGATGTGCATATTACCAGGAAATTCCGATTCCTTTATATTTTCTTGGAATTTCGGCACTTTTCAACTTAGATTTTTTGCCATATCTTCAATATAAAGATGAACAGTTTGTCAGCACAACTCCTCTTAAACCGCTGCACAGAATTTGGTCAATCTCTGCAGATATTTAGTACACAGTGTGTAGATGTGCATATTACCAGGAAATTCTGATTCCATTATTTTTTCTGGGAATTTTGGCACTTTTCAACTTAGGTTTTTGGCCATATCTTGAATATAGAGGTGAACAGTTTGTCAGCACAACTCCTCTTAAACCGCTGCACAGAATTTGGACAAACTTTGCAGATATTTAGTACACAGTGTGTAGATGTGCATATTACCAGGAAATTCCGATTCCATTATTTTTGCCTTAAGATTTTTGCCTTTTATTGAAGAAACTTTCCAGCTAGGTAATAAGAAACTCCACTGGAATCAGCTTTTTATAATGAAATTCTATGTGAAATATTTTATGACCTTAAAAGACCCCTATTGATTTTGAGATCAAAATATTAATGGTTTAACACAAACACACACTCACACACACACCATCTTCGATAGTTCTCTCCCCCCCCCCTTCAAATTGGTGTGCTTTGCCTTAAATAATTTCATAAGTACAGTATATAAACAGATTCATATGACTACATCATAATTTTGTTTCCATCAATTATTTAAATGTGTAAACTGTCATGTGTTGGACATGGACTTACACTCATTAACAAATCGAAATCACTGAGGAATTTAAATAACAGTTTGTCAGCATAATTCCGGCACTGAATTTCCTGAAACTTTGTAGGTATTTCAGAATAATGTATAGATTTGTATATTACCAAGAAATTTTGATTCCATTATTTATCTAGAAACTTCAGCCCAGTTAAATTTGTAACATACAAAGATTTGAATGTCCTTATATGCAAGAAGTTTTGATGTGATGATTTTTTGCAAGTAATGCCCCTTTTTTGAATTATACTGTGTATTTAAAATGCACTGTGCCATTCATTACGTGTTGCATTGTCGAGTTTTGGGGAAGCGTGGGGTATGTGAGCTTGCTCACTTTTTCTTTCATTTCTATAGCGATGAAGTTCTTGACCATATAAAGCGACTTTTTCTTCTGGGGTTAAATCTTCACGTCTTGTAATGTCCTCTAATTCCTGACCTAAACTGAGAGTAGTTTGAAATTTGGGAGGTTTCGGTAATTTTCCTTTAAGTTCATTCAATAAGACTTCAGGAACTAATACCATTTTACGACTCATTTTCCCCCTAGGAGAGATGCTGCTCCTATTAGTAAAGGACCGAGTAAAAGAGGGAAGAGGCCTCCTTTTTGCTGGACTAACAAAGCTCGTCTTTTCTGAATAGATTGAGGTTGAATTAGTCTCCTTAAGATGTGTTTCTTTCCAGCTAGTTTTCGTTTCTGAACCGAAGTGAGAGGTAACACTCCTTTTAATAGGTTGTACACAATCTCACAAATCTTCAGGATACAATCTCCAGAACAATGTTTTAAAATACTTGTCTTTAAGGGTGAAGAATAATGAGGATTAGATAACACTCTTAAAAGAGGCCCATGAGATTTTAATCTTGTAGAACAACAAGTCTTCTTCTTCTTCTTAGCCATCCTTTTCAAATAATGAAGAGGTGTCCCTCAGTGTGTCCTCCTTTTATACTCTTTTTAAGGAGGAGGAGCATACATACCATGTTTGTCTTTCTCATGTTTATCTCTATTTTTTTCGGTGACATAGATTTTGGAACAATATCGGCATTTATATCTCGTTCCTTTTGGAAGTTTAGGTGTAGAAGCAGATAAGGTTGAAAGCGGGCTATTTTAGGAGTCTGTATGGGTACTTTAATTCCAGGAGAAGGAATTCCTACATTGACTAAATGTAATTGAATAAATCCGGGGCTCTTTGACTGCCTATGGGTGCCATAGCACGATCCATTCTCATTTCAGCTTGTTTCTTTTTCTTTTCTTCTTCTTCTTCTTTTGAGAAGGTTTTTTCTTATTGTTTGACCCCCCACCTAGTCGAACCATCCAATTTGGTAAAACTCTCTTTTTTGTCTTTTTGTTCTGGACTCTTACCACCACACTTTTCAAACGACGAGCACGTCGTTTTTTAGGGGTATTCCATTTAAATAAATGACGAATGATGACTCCTCCTAAAAATCCTGCTCCGCCACGTTTTAAAATAGCTTTTTTTCTGTCTTCCTCACTAGCTGATTTATCAGAGATGATACTTAAATCTTGACGATGATGATCAATAAATCTCTGAGTCTGTTTATTATTGGGTAAGACCCCTTTCATTAAATTTCGAGCTCCCATAGCAAACCAATTCAATAAGGCTTTACGCCCTAATTCAATTAAATGAGCTCGCTTAGCAGGATCTTTTTCCCGCTGTAAACGTCTTAAAGTTTTCACTAATTTACTCTTGGCTGATGGTGCCATGATGAGAGTTGAATGATAAATGACAAGGGTGAGGATGATACATTTTTATTTATACTCTTGAGGCATGTGTATAGTTTACCATTCAAACAATCGACTTCTTAATCTGTATTCGTCTGGGGTGTGTGGACTCAAATCCACCAAGAGATACCCATGAGGAACATTGGTAGCTTCTTGATAAGCGGACATCAAATGAGGTAGAGCTAACTGACGACTCAAGACACTGATTTGAGATTTGTCTCGGGGATTTTTAAACAAGACTAAATAATGAGCATTCAAACTAATGGTGCGATGTGATGCTGCCCTATCAAATAAATTCTGAGTGATGTAAATCACACTGGTATTCCGATGATGAGCTTTACGGGTAAACCAATCCACGATCGATTCAATGGCTTTTCCTCCCATCATGTCGTCAAAAATGAGTAAGTGTGGAATATTTAAATTAGCCACTAATTTCTCATCGTCTTCGGGAATATTTCGAATGAAAGACACCCGATCTCTTAGAGAAGTGTAAGCAGGTTGCCATTCCCGATAACACCACACAATTTTTTGTGGCACGGGGGTAATCCAATGTAAATTTTCTACTAATTTCTTGACAAATTCAGTTTTGCCAGATTTAGAAGGTCCTGCTACCACCATGGTAAATTCATGTTTTAAAAGAAAAGAGGGAAGAGGTGTCTCCTCATGTTGCATGATGACAAATGAAGACAAAGGTAGTTTCAATGCTTTATTTATAGTCAATAACCATCATTTTAATAACCATAAGGTAAAGTGTTATAATCTTTCAAGATCTGTCTCTTATCGTAAACAATTCTATATTGTTTTTCTAAAGGTACTGTCTTGACTTGATGATCTCGGGTCCTCTGTATTTTGTAAGGATAAGACACTGTGACTTCATCTATTTCTTTCTTGAGCATTTTTTCTAAAGTCTCTAAGGATACGATATTAGAAGCCCTAAAATTGAGAGTTAATCCTTTGACTTTAAGGATGGAATTTCCCTTGGAGGTAAGGTAAGCATAATTTTTGGGACCTCCAGACATGAATTTGATAATGTGATCCCCGTCCAATTCATCGGTCCATTCTCCTAAACTGTTTCCAAGAATCGGATTAAATTGTCCTTCCTTATGTTGGTAAATGATACTATCCGTATCGAAATAAACCACCCGATCTCCTAAAGGTTGTAAAGTCTCGTAGAGGTGTAATCTGGCATGAGCGGTAGTGAAACAGGCCAGTATTATGTTTCCAAAGGGACATTCTTCTACAATTTGATTTTTGTCTTGATAATTGACTAACATCATGTCTAATTCCGGCTTTTCTTTATTTTCTAAGAGTTGGATCCCTTTAATCTCTTTGGTCGAATCTTGTAAGAGTTGATGTAATTCCTCTTCTTCCGTTAAGTATTTCGTTTTCGGTAATAACAGACGTTGAGCAAATTTTCCCCACAAACAATTTAAAAAAAGTTTGGCTATGGTTCTTTGCACTGGATTTTTTTCAATTCTTAACCAATCCATTCTAATTCCTTCTTTTTCTAACACTTGACGAATGTAATTTAGTTGCTGTTCTTCCGTCTGACACTCCGGTGGAAATCCAGACGCTTCTTGTTTGATCTTTAAAAAAGTATCGATGTAAGGTCTGAATAAATCTGTGCTGCTTTCTGGAAAATGCCAAACTTCGTATATCTTCTCTAAAGTATACCCCATGTCCAAGGCTTTGTGTAATTCGGTGGTCACCCAGATACCTGTAAGACTGCTTTCACGGGAATTGTGTCGACATCGATGTTTAGGGTCTTGTTGTTTTGCACAAGTTCGACATAAGGGAAATAATAACTTGCCTCCTGTGCGATAAGGTAAAACTGGGTGATAGAGGCCTCGAGGTGGTAAGACCCGACAATGAATGAGTCCAAAATAGGATCTGACGTCTTGGAATTGATCGGTAATGATTTGAGGATGCCCTACAGGAAAAGGTCTGTGTTTTAACACGTAAGGGTAGAGAGAGCAAACGTCTATGTATCTCATATCTCCTTCCTCACAATATAATCGTGTAGCATTGGTCCGACCTCCATACAAAGCCTTTCGGGGGCTTAAAGGATCTGAAATGTTTAGGTCTGATAAAAAATTCTGTAAAACTTCATCTCTTTGCACTTGTTGATCGAATTCGTGCTCCCAGATAGAGGTGACAGAATAACCAAATTGCTCTAAGACCGATTTCCTTCTTAAAGTTTCTTCATATAATTGTTGGTAAGTCCATTGGGGTTGGTGAGGATGAGTTTCGGTCTGTAGATTGGAAAAGCAGGTGGGGCATCCGTGCCAATTACATCCGTAAAATTCGTAGACGGTGTGGCTATCTTCCTGATATCCGTCTACAGTATAAGTTCCGATCTTGACTTCTCCCCCGTTTCTCGCATGTTGGATGTGAGATCCACTCTGTTGACTCAAAAAGGTTAACCACCGACAGGCTTTGGCCGAATATTGACGAGCAGGTTGATATCCCAGGTTAGGAATGATGGCAATGGTATCTTCGGGCATAAATCCTCGACGGTAAGCTAAATTGGCTGCACTGGCAAAAGTGATAGATTCCTGAAAGGGATCTACATTCACTAAATTCTTGAGGGTGGCTCTAAACTGAGCACAACATCGTCGTAAAATATCGACGTCGGAAATACAATACTCTAAAAATTCCTTCTGGAAATCAAACACTTTTCCAGCTTGTTGGTGGTACCATTGGAAAAAAGTTTGTCGTCCACTAATAGTCATGTCGTCCGGATTGTATTGATCTGGAGGGGGATAAGGTCCCACGTAATTCTGGTTCTGTACCGTATTGAAAAAGTGAGGGAAATACCCTTTTTTCAGTTCGGTGAATCCAAAAGCGGAAGGCATCTTGGACAGAGCAAAAGGTAAAAAATTATAAGAATCGATGAATTTCAATCCAAGGATTTCCATGGATAAGATTTTACTCCCGTTCTGGATGACGGTGGGTTTAATGCAAGCAGAATGCACCAGGTAATTTAAAATGAACTGTCCGTCATATCCTTTGAAATTGTGAGCAATGACGATGGTCTCGTCGTGTAATAAAGTACCATACTTATCTCCTTTGCTGATGGGTTGTAATAACCAGTCCATGAAGTCTTTTAAGGTATTTAATCCTTTAAACACATGTTGACGGGGTCCCATGTGCCGACAATGAGGACAAGGATCCTCAATGGGTAAATGCCCACAATGTTGACAGACCCGATGTGCTACACATAAATTAGGAATGTGAATGCCGTTTTCCTGCGTACATTCGAAATCGAAATAAATGTAAATCTGTAATGTCTCTTTTCCCTTCTTCTTTTTGGGAGGTTTCTGTTGAACGTAACACTGATGATCATTCTGTACAATTTTCTTACAGATCTTACATTGTTTCCGTCCTCCGCATAAGTGATGAGATAATAATTTTTTAGGCATCCATTTCTGACATTGGCCACATCGTCCCATTAAATTACAGATGGTTGTTGTCTTATTTTTACTTTAAGGTCGTAAATGATTTTCATAACAACCTCTATTCTTAAAAAATCCCTGGCAATGAGGACATGAAATCTGGCTCCCGTCTTTAGGGCATGGAGGGTAAGATAAACAAAAATCACATCGAAAAGGACATTTGGATCGATGGTCTGTGATGTTTCTATACCCCACATCACAATGATCACAATAATATTGACACCCTGTGATACCAGGCATGGATAAAATGGCATGGTAATGATGATCTTCTAACAAAATGTTTAAAGAAATTCCTTGTCCATTCCCTTTGTAGATAGGTTCTAAGGAGAATTTAGAAGACATAGACTTGATCTGAAATATTTTCAGTCGATATTGAGGATATAACACTTGTTGTAATTTCCCCCATTCTTCGGGTCCACAAGATTGATGAATATCACACCCGGCTTGTTCCATGAGAGCTTTAGCTTGATTTTTCTGATCATTACTCCTTACATCTCCTACCCGCATACGTTTCCATCTTTTTTCCCATTCGAGGTCGGGATTTTCTGGTTTTTCACTGTGTAACCGGGTGATGACAATAGCTCTAGCTAAACACATCTTATCCCAGGGATTATCGATCTGAACGATAGATTTTTTTCCTTTAAGGAAAGTGTCCTTATTGATCATCAGGTGTTTGGAATTATTTCCACCACTTCCTTGAGGATATTTCACATGAAACATGTCGAATTTCATAGACCCGTCTCCCAGTTTAAAATCTTTTTTAGATTGTTGAACGGCTTCTATTTTGTTTAAAATGACCTCCTCGTTCAAATGTTTACATTGGGTAAACTCGTACCAGATTTCAGAGAAGGATGACGTATGTTCAAGCGTAAGTAATCGTTAGGATTACACTGCATTTCATATTTAACCGTTTTTAACATGTCTCTAAATAATCGCCGAACAAATCCTTTGTTTTCTTCTTCTGGAAATTCCTCAAAATTGATATTGTATTTATTTTCTTGGGCTTTGAATTTTCTGGAATGTCTGGTGGAATCTAATCTCACTTTATAATACTGGGAAATGGACTTCGGTTTCCCTGGTGGTGAATGAGGTGGTGATAAATGAGATGAAGAATTTGGTTGTTCTTCTTCTTCATTTACATGACGTAAAGCTTGTACTTGTTGATGACGATTGGTTTTCTGTATTCTTTGTAAGTACAAGGCATTTCGTTTTCTAAGATCTAATTCTCTATCTCTATTGTTATGAAGAATTTTATCTAATTCTTTCTGCCTTTTTTTCCATTTCTTAAGTTGTCGTGTGAAACGATCCATGTTTATTTTTAACAACAGAATGAGCTGAAAGTCAAAAGAAGGCGGTTTTTATACGATATATGACGTCACAATGCATAGGTCGCTGTGATTTGGATAGGTGCAAAGATTTTAAGTAGGAGGAATTTTTTTTGCACACGCCACTACTGCACAGGTGTTTTAAGAATAGGATCTCGTGGTGTTATAATTAGAGTTAAAAAAGAACTAAAAATAGTTTTAGACTTATAAAAAATAGTGGAGATTAAAAATAGATTAAACTAAAAAAATAGTAGAGACTAAAAATAGAATGGATTAAAAAGGTATATAAACCAGATCTGAGAGTATATAGGATCAGTCTTATATTTTAGTCAGGGATTTTAAAACAAACCTTAAGATGGAAGAAGAAAATTCCAGGACTCTGAATGATATGTTTGAGCTGGCAACAGTAATGGCTGGTATTGAACTACATGAAAGAAAAGGGATAAAAAAAAATCCTAGAGGATATATGTGATATAATTCAAATTCTGAAAGAGAACCAGAAGGAAATAGCCAGTATAATAAGAAAAATGATTCAGGATCAGGAGAAATCAACTGATATAATGGTAAAACTTCAGAAGGATCACTGTGAGTTTAGAGAAATCATAACAAAAGAAATTGGTGTGTTTAAAGAAGTGATGGATGAGATTCGTAAGGATAAACTTAGAACAATTAAAAAGGAAAAAAAAACAGAAAGAGTGACAAAAGAAATGAATGAAAAGTACAGAAAAAAAGAATTGACACTTTTTCTTTTCATATTGTATTGTATTGGATCAATAATAAAAGGTTTGAAATTTTTTTGATTGTGTATTTTTTAAAAAGGGTAGTTGAACCGGCTAGCCAGGATCTTGGGAAGGTGCACTTAGTTGACCCGACCAGCGCATTTTGGGACTTTTGATACGGTATCCTGTATAGACTTTCTTATTTTGACTTTTTTTTTTACCGTCTATAAAGGCCCCTATACGCCTGGATAGACCGGTCCAGCGCATTTTACATTTTTCGTATTTTTTGCATTTTTTTACCGTCTATAAAGGCCCCTATACTCCAGGATAGACCGGTCTATCCTGGAGTAATCTACTACTGAGGCATATATTAAGATATTTTATTTCAATCTACTTAAGTTGAATAAGGAGGCCATAGGTAGTTATGGGTATCAAATGCAAGTTTGGGCCAAGGTTTTTAATTTTAATTGAATATATTAATGTTCGTTACAGTTCAAATTATTTTAATACTTTTCCTAAAGAGACCTTGTTTTTCATCCCTTGTCTTGTTTTTAAGATCTTTTATGAGAAATATTCTCCGAGGAACAAAACAAATTTCCTGGGAGTACAGCAGAGGCAATTGGTCAAAAAATGTATGAGATAGTGTTAGGCCATTCCAAGTTTTTTCTATGATTAGGGTCCGGTGCGCCTTGGTTGTAGACACCTCATATCAGAAAAAACAAACAAAATTAGGAGTCCTGAAATTGATTATTCTGGTTGAAATCACTGAATTCTGTAAATTTTTCTAAATATTTGTCTACATTATGTCATATTAGGAATATTGTAAGCATTTAATGCCTTGAATTTGCTGAAGAATAAATATTTCTACGAGAAAAAATAGATTAATGAAATCAAATCCTTTGAATGATGTCATTTTTTAGACTATAAAGTCTTGTGTTTTTCTTTTTGATTTGTGTGTTTTAAGCGAATAGGTAGGTAGGTTTTTGAAAGATGGGTGGACGCTAAACATAGAAAAAACTTGGAATGGCCTTACCAAGTATAAGCAAAGATATTAAGACAAATTGTGAATTTTCCAAAATATAACCCATTAATTTAATTTATTCTCCATAATGTTCTCATCGATTAAATAATGGACCAGAGGAATGGAAAACAGACCCCAGACAAATTCAAGCAAAAGTTATAATAGTACGCGAAATGTTTTCACATCAATATCTTGAAATTTACTAATTTTATATCTTAAGTAAACATGAATTTAGCAATACATTTTAACTGTACAAAAATGCATTCCCTGTTTATTCATTGAAAATTGCATACATACATGTACTTTATTTTTTCTATCTCAAGCTACGTAAAATCCAGCACAATACAATTTAATGTTTTTAAATTTGTTTAAGTTTAAACATGAGAAAATGATTAATTTGTCTTAATAATATGTATATTAACTTGTTGTTTATATGCTTCATGAAAAGTAAAGAAAAGGAACATAGAAGAACGTGCCAAAAGAAGGGAATTAAGATGTTTCATCATAAACAAAATGATGTGTTTGTTTATCAATATGTGCTGTTTTTTTTTTAAATCACCCTCATCAATCTTGTTTTTTTTTTTAAAAAAGAAAGCTAGCACCTGCATAGGATTAAATAATCTGTATGTCAGTGGTATATCATTTGTTTTTCAAACTGCAATTTTGAGGAATGTTATCTACACTCTAAAGTCATTGGTATTATTTGTCCCTTATTGGTGAAATCGTAGGGGACTTTAGGTTTCCTCCACATCTGTTCTGTCTGTCCAACTTCGTTTACCGCATTTTACTTATTGCAGATATTGAATTGATTTTTGGTATGAGAGTGTATCTTGATGAGCTCCAGAAAAAGAAAGCTTGAATGATTTTTATCGGAATTACAGCTTCGTTTTTTTTTTTATTTTAAGGCCATTTTTTTAATTAGTTGTTTTACGGATTTTTTTTAATTGAAAATGTCCATTGGGTGGCTACAAAAAAAAAACACAAAAAAAAAAACAAAAAAGAACAAGATGTGCTTGTGAAACACTGATGCCCCCGTATGGCAGCTTATGGCGAAGGTTAAAGTTTCTTCAAATGCAAGTCAAAATCCAGTCCAAAAGATAAGAAATGTTGATACCCAAAGAAAGGTCTTGTCTCGAGGAATACACCTATGAAATTTGAAAGACCTAGATGCAACTGTTCAGAAGTTATGGCGAAGGTTAAAGTTTTTTTTGAATGAAAGTCAGATGTCAAGGTCAAGGTCAAAGTGATTGGTATCCAAAGGAAGATCTTGTCACAAGGGTTACATATGTGAAGTATGAAAGCCCTAGCACCAACCATTCAAAAGTTATGGCCAAGGTTAAAGGTTTTCAAAAGTAGGTCAAACTCCTAAGTCAAGGTCAAAAGGTCAAAGTGGTGGTTGCTATCCAAAGGAAGGTTTTGTCGCAGGGATTACATATGTGAAGTATGAAAGCCCTAGCTCCAACCATTCAAACGTTATGGCCAAGGTTAAAGTTTTTCAAAAGTAGGTCAAACTCCTAGGTCAAGGTCAAAGGGTCAAAGTGGTTGATGTCCAGAGAAAGGTCTTGTCACAAGGAATACACATGTGAAGTTTGAAACTCTAAGCACCAACTGTTCAAAAGTTATGGCCAAGGTTAAAGTTTTTCAAAAGTAGGTCAAACTCCTAGGTGAAGGTCAAAAGGTCAAAGTTGTTGGTATCCAAAGGAAGGCCTTGTCACAAAGAATACACATGTGAAGTTTGAAACCCCAAGCACCAACTGTTCAGAAGTTATGGCTAAGGTTAAAGTCTCATAAAATTTTGCAAAGTAGGTCAAACTCCAAGGTCAAGGTCAAATATGATGGTACCCAAAGAAAGGTCTTGTCACAAGGAATACATGTGAAATATGAAAGTCATAGCTCCAACCAATCAAAAGTTATGGGCAAGGTTAAAGTTGACAACAGACAAACGGACAAACAGACAGACAGGACAAAAACAATATACCCCCGGGGTCTTTCGATCCGGGGGCATAAAAAACAAGTGCTCAATGTTCGAAACTTTTAATATGCAGCATATCGATGCAGGTGGGAAACATAAAACGGAAAATTTTCTTGGCATTTCTCACTGAAGGAGGACGTTCCTCCAAGCAGGAAAGACATATTGGGCGTACAGTGCTAAACCTTTCCGTGTATGACTGGATACGGGGGTCCCCCCCCCCCCCCACGTCCAAGTCACCACAGAAAAAACACACTTCAGCAAATTTGCACAAACTCCTGCAAAATAATAAGAGTTAAATCAAATTCAGGTAGTACCTTTTCAAAAACAGTATATTAACAAGAAAAATACTTAAATCGGTACACCTTCAGAGGACACAAATAAACTTACCAGAATGACACAGTACTGACCAGACAGCCTCACAGAAAGCGAACCCAGAGCGCACCCCGGGTTCGCTTAGAGTCCGCTAGTGCTGACCCCGAGCGAACCCAGAGGGAACGCTGAAAGCGAACCCCAAATTCAGTAGCGGCCCCAGAAAGCAAACGCGCGTTCGGTGTTGCGTAACAGAGCTGTCAATGAGGATTAGCGATTAACTCATCAGCGCGTCGACCAATCAACATGCCGAACAGGTCTGTCAATCATGATAAGGGATAAAATGCGTTGACCATCAGCGCATCGACCAGTCA